TCAGTGCACACTAACAGATGAGGGGGTACCCCAAAAACCTGGAATTTATTTACAAAAAATCGTGTACTTGTTCTTACACGTTTAAACCTCAGTCACCTTCAAAGTACTCTACATTTGCTGCAATTCAGATCGAGACTTTTTTCCCACGGCTCAAAGCAGTTTTTGAACTCATTGATTTTGATGCCTTTTAGTGCTTCTGCTGATTTTTGTTTCCTCTCTCCCACATCGGCAAAGTGTTTCTCTCTGAGGACTTTTTTCACCTGGGGAGACCTAAAAAAGTTGCCTGGGGTAAGATTGGGTGAATAGGGAGGATGGGGCATGGGACTCATGCCGTTTTTGTTCAAAAACTGCAGAACACTCAATGTGGTGTGAGCAGGTGTGCTTGCAAATCATCCATCATGAAACGGGCAGACATGTTGAGTCTTCAAAAACATTCATTAAGGCTTTACAACCATGCCAGCTGGTGTGCTGATACAGATGGGTTTCTACAACACTCATCTAGCCAGGGAAGCCTGTATTAAGAGGCAGCCCTCCAGAAGTGAATTCCATTTTCTGGGATTCCCCCCTTGTATTCTTTATATTTCTTTGATTACTTTATCTTTACATGTTAGTGAAGCAAATCTTTCTTTTCCTGGGATGACTTGTGCAAGTGAATCAGCTTTTTGACTACAAAATATCCGGAAGAGAAAGTTAAGAATCAAGGCAACAAAATAGTATTCAAGGTAGGTTCATTCACTGAAGTTCTATAGGGGTATGCTTTGGAATTATTTTAAAAAAGAAGAGCTTTTCTTCCCCCCATTCTTTTTTTCCACATTTTTTATTGTTGTTCAACTACATTTGTCTCCATTCCTTGCACCCCCATCTCCACCCCCCCATCAGCCATCTCCACTTCCTACCCTTAATCTTACCCGCCCTTGGCTTTGCCCATGTGTCCTTTATAGATGTTCCCGAAAACTGTTTCCCCTCCCCCCCTCCCGTTAACTCCACCTCCTCTCTGGTTACTGCCAGTTTGTCCTTAATTTCAATGTCTCTGGTTATATTTTGCTTGCTTGTTTGTTTTGTTGAAGAGCTATTTTTATACTAGATAGCCCCCATATACATGATTCTCTTTATTTTTATTTCTACTTATATATAAATGTGAAATCCTTATATTTATAGGCCCCTTGCAGTGATACCTTGGTTTTGAGATAGATACAGTAGCAGACGGAGGAATCAGGGATAAGCCCTAACGCTCATGAACATCTACTGAGTTCCCCCTAGCTGAAAGGAGTGGCAGTGGATATGAGCCCCCAGGAGGTTACATGCTCTTCGTTGAAGGGCCCTGAGAAATGCACGTGAATCAGCCAAAAATAATCTAAGCCCGGCTGACCGAGTGCAGGAGCTCAGATCTTGCCACCAAGCATGTCTTGCAAGGGCTTCTTTCATCGGCAGCCCAGTCTGGCCAACTAAACTGTCCTTCCCCGGCCTCTAAGCAGCTGGGGGGGGGGGTGGTGGGATGGAAAACAGAAGTCGGCCCACATTATGGATCATTTTCTCAGTGTCGATTTTCTTTTAGATCTTAACTCTACAGGGTTGCTTTGCTTTTTATTAGAAACACGTATACCTTCTCTCTGCTCACCCTGCCTCCATTATAGAATCCTGCTCCAGCTGAGAGCCAGGGGGAGGAGTCCGCGGATAGGAGCAGGGAAGATGAGCGTTATTGGGCTGGAGGCCGTGGGCGGATCCTAGTCCGGGCTCCACCCCAACGAGCTGTCGGATCCTGGGCCCAGGTTCCTCTTCTTCCCGATTTAAATTTCCAGTTCTTTGGTCAGGGACACTAGCAAAGACAGGCCCTGTGCTACTCCCCTGGTGACGGGATATCTTTGGGGAAAAAACGGGAGAAAAGGAATGCTGCCCAAAGCCAGGCAGACCAATCTCACTTGTCAGAAACCATGGAATCCTGTGATAGGGAAGATATCCAGAGGAACCAAACATAAGGCAGATTTATGGTAAAGACTGAAAAATTTTCACAGAAGTTGCATATTGGAGCCAATCTGTCTTAAGCTTCTATTATAGGTTATCCTGTTTAAGTTTTCTGTACTACAAGCCCTGGAAAAAGGCGTAAGATCTTGAAGTGCTTGTCTTTCAGAGTCTCTTCCCATTAAGTCAAAAAGTCAGGATTAAAGTTATTCTACAAGTAAGTCACCCACCATCGATGGCTTAGGGGTCTGATGCCCTCTGAGTGAAATTGTCTCTAAAATGTTTTCCCCATCTGCTCAGAGTTTCAATAAATGTCAATTTCTTTTTCTTTCTTCCATTCCGTAGACTTAAAAATTTTAACGTTTTAGAGGAGATTTGATGATTACACTGTGTGTGCATCTTACTCTGCTACCTTCAACAACTTTGGAAAGAAAAAACTTAATTTTACATTTTTGTCTGAAACCTAAAGTGGCCCTTATGAAGCCTCTGAGAGGGACTGTCACTGACACCGCAAATCAGAAGCAATTCTAGAAGCAGCGAGTGTTCACTTTCAAAGCTTAGTTCCCCAGGGGTGACTTGCCTGGTAATAGAGCCATTTTTGCCATGAGGGTGAGACATGTCCACCGAAGATTCCTGCTTTCTGTATAAAAAACATCCTGAGTGGAAACACCGGACATGACACAAATCAGCTGGGAACACAGTGAAGCCTGATGGGGAGGTGAGGGAAGGACACAAAAATGAGAGGACGGTTCTGTGCTCAGAGAGGTTGAGTCACTTCCCAAAGGCCACACAGCTTGTATCTGAACTGAGGCCTGTATTTTCCAAATGCTTTCATTATCTCTTACCTCTGAAGTTGCCTTGTGTTGGTTGCATAATAAGGGTGTCATATCTGACCTGCCTCGAATATTAACATCAAATTGATTTTCTATAGCACGGGCCAGAGTTTCTCACCCTCAATTATTCTGCATCTTTTGAAGCTAACCAAGCCCCCTAATGGGCCTAAGAAAGAAACTAAATGGGGGGGAGGGGGAAGCAGGGAGACAAATCTGACATTTTCCTCGGAGGAGGGTCTAGAGAAGGGGAAACAGGAATCATTTGGGTTTGTTTGTTTGTTTAATTGTGATAAAATACACATAACATCAAATTGACCCCCTCAACCATTTTCGTATGAACAGTTCAGGGGTATTAAAGTGTGTCTGGTGGTTGTGCAACCGTCACCAGCCTTGTCTCAAACGGAAACTGTTCTCCCACGTACTCACTCCACGTGTTCCCTCCCCAGACCCTGGCAACTGCATTCTACTTTGTCCCCGATAAATTTGACTGCTGTACAGATGTCGTGGGCTCAGTGTTTTTCTTTATGTGACTGGCTTAGCAAGTCACTTAGTGTGTTCAGTCCTGTTATTTCACAGAGCCCACTAGTCCATAGGCTTGCAGTGAGAGGTTCAGATGGGGACCCTGGGGTGCCGCAAGTCCACACAGAGGGGGTGTCAGGCCTGCTCCGGAAGCAGGAGCACCCCGTGAGTCCCTGTCACACTGCCCTGTTGGGACACAGGCAGGGCAAAAGCACATTCAATTATACTCCAATGCTCTTACCAGTTACTGCTTTATACAATCCCTGTTTTGAAACAATTTCACAGTAGCACCATAGAAAAGGTATTTTATTTCTTTTTCTTTCTTTTTTTTTTTTAAATGAAAACTCTAGGCTTGGAGGAGTTTCTGTGCTTGTTTAATGTCACACAGCTAGCTACCCAGTGGCAGAGTGAAGATTGAACCCAGGGCTCCGGACCTGGATGCCTGTGTTCCTGTCCCCTGGTCACAGTGCTGCCGCTGCTGTGGAGAGGGCTGCAAGCTGATTTTCTGGCAGGCATGTTTCACCCTGAGGGAATGACTGCTCAGAGGGTGTGACTATGGAGTTTCCTTGTCTGCTCACCTCGTCTGTGCTCAGAGCCCTCTCTCTGCAGTGCATGTGGGGGACCCTTTAACATATTTTTGCTTTGGGAGGCAGTCCTGACCCCGCCCCCGTCCCCACAGGGCTTCTTCTGGTGTGGACGGTTGCCCTGCAGCTCTGCAGTGAGTATGTGTGACATCCCCAAGGAACAATAATAGTCTTTTATAAAATGGAAACGTAAATGACTTTTGAATTATTTCTTAGCCATTGGTCCCGGGACTGTAGAGGCAGCCTGCTACGAACCCGCATTTTCTCTTCCCCATCTGCACCTGCAAGAACAGTGGTTGAAGCTTGGTGACTGTCCTTCCACTTTTCAGCTTCTTCTTTATGCCTGCTAGAGAGCCAGGTTAGTGTCGCAGGTTGCAGAATAACTGAGGTTGAGAAACTCTGGCAGTCACAGTAAAGACAATTGGTTCCATATTGTGGTGTACGGCAGGATGGGTTGAAACTTGCTGTGCAACCAAGCTAAGGCACCGTTCAGGAGCAGAAGATGAAGCAGAAGCATCTGCATTTTAAAAGATATAGACCTCAGTTCAGATATGAGCTCTGTGGCTTTGAGTTAGTGACCAAATCTTTCCGAGTCTCAATTTTCTCAAATATGAAATAGCCACACATTTTTCTTTAATCCCCAGAGAGGATATATTTATTGATTTGAGAGAGAGAAAGGTGGGGTGGGGAGAGAGAGAGAGAGAAAAAAAAAAAAAAACACTGGTCAGTTGCCTGGCACGCTTGTCCCGACTGGGGCTCTGGCTGCAACTTTTGGGGCACAGGACAATATCCAATCAACTGAGCACCCGGCCAGGATGCCTCACATTTTTGTAGTGAGGATTAAACATGCCTAGATCAGAAAAAATACTTTAAGGTAGTTTTATTATAAACTCAAATCTTTTAGGAAGAATATTGAGGCCAATAATTGTCATATTGTCCCTTGTCTTGTGGAGAATATGTATTGGAGACGCCCGAGGCAGGGTGAGACTCAAGAGGGAGCAGCATGACAATTGTCATCAAGGTCTGAGAAGGATGTTTCTGATTATTGAAGGACAGTTCTTTGATTTCTGTCATTCCAGGCCATCAGCCTCTGTACTTATAAAACATGGTCCCTACGAGCAATGTGACTGAAATCACTTTCTTGGGATTTTCCCAGAACCGGGGCACACAGAAGGTCATTTCTGCGATTTTTCTCCTCATGTACTTGGCCATTGTGCTGGGCAATGGCCTCATCGTGGTGACCATCGTGGTCAGCAAAGGGCTCACCTCCCCCATGTATTTCTTCCTCGGCTACTTGTCCTTTGTGGAAATCTGTTACTGTTCCGTCACAGCCCCTAAGCTCATCCTTGACTCTTTTATTGAGAGGACGGTCATTTCTCTCAAGGGATGCATCACACAGATATTTTTCCTCCATTTCTTTGGTGGCACCGAGATCTTCCTCCTGACAGTGATGGCCTACGACCGCTATGTGGCCATCTGCAAGCCCCTGCACTACACAAGCATCATGAACCGGCGTGTGTGCGGCCTCCTGGTAGGAGCAGCATGGGGCGGGGGCTTGCTGCATTCTGTTGGGCAAACCTTCCTCATTTTCCAGCTGCCCTTCTGTGGCCCCAATGCCCTTGACCACTACTTCTGTGATGTGCACCCCGTGCTGAAGCTGGCCTGCTCCAACACCTTCCTCATTGGAGTGCTGATCATCACCAATGGTGGCTCCATTTCAGTGATCAGCTTCACAGTCCTGCTCGCGTCCTACGTGGTCATCCTGTGCTCCCTGAGGAGCCAGACCTCAGAAGGCCGGTACAAGGCCCTGTCTACGTGTGCCTCTCACGTGGCGGTTGTAAGCCTGTTCTTCATTCCCTGTTCCTTTGTCTATATGAGGCCCTGCGTGACCTTCTCTGCAGACAAGATAGTGGCTGTATTTTACACAGTGGTCACACCTCTCTTAAACCCCATCATCTATTCCTTTAGGAATGCGGAAGTGAAGAACGCCATGAGGAGACTGGTGGACAGAAAGTGATTTGGGAAGAGAAATAGATAACTTAGGTAGGGCAAATGGGAGACTCAAAGGATGGGAAATTGGGGTACAAGATTCCCAGTTTGCTTCTACTTTTAACTGAGGGAGTGGCCCCAGGCTAGTCACTTCCTTTCTTTAAGTTTCAGTCTCTTCATCTTTATGGGATTAGACAAGATTGAAGGGATTTCTAGGACAAAGTGTTGGAGTGGTCTTCTAATGCTGCACTTCCAACATTTGACAGTGACCTTGAGGCAGGTTGGCTGGTTTGAGACAGTGAACTCTTCCAGACACCAGGGCCTCTCAGGGAATAATGATGAAGAGTGAGGTAGAACAAAGAGGAAGAATGGCCATATGCCTTTGTGTTTGAAAAGCTTGAACTTTTGGAGTCTGGGAAGTCACTCAAATGCTTAGAAATTCTATTGACTCCCTGAGAATGTGCCTGGCGGGTTCTGTGCAGGCTGAGTGGACCTAGAAGGAATTAGTCTTCAGAATAGAAGGCGTTTTGACTTTTGAAGAGAGTCACATTAGTTCATGCTTGCATTCGACTCATGCTTTTAAGATTTTAAGTGATTTGAAAGTACTGGCCAATGATACTTTGTAGGCACAAGTTTTATTTTCCATGTAATATGAATATTTTGATGTCTATCACTCTCTTCTTTCATACCTGTCTGTCATTCTTTTCCCCCTATTTTTCCCCCCTATACCTCTGGTTGTTTTGCACATTGGTTTTCTCTGTGGTCAGCCTCTTAGTGCTTTGTGATTCTCAGCCATTCCAAGAAAATACCCGATAACCAAAAACCCGCTTTTCGATGCTGCCGTATTGAATTCTTGCTCTCCATCCACCAGCACTCTACCCCTTCCCATTCTTCGTTCTGGAGCTACATTTGATTCCAGTGTGGGTTCAACTGCTCTTGGGGCCTCACTGCTTGTCCTATCGTATTTTAATCATCATTTTTTTGAATCCTACTTTATGTAGCTACCATCACATGCCATAATAATGTAATCCCCATCCCTAACCCCAACACTAACCCTCACTCTCAGGAGATGATTCCTCTCCTACCCCACATTTCCAGATTAATCACCTGAAAGCACTTTTCTGATTTTTACTATTCGCCTTCTCAAAAAAATCTTTCATGATTCTCTGTTTCCCTCTGAGTCTACCACAAACTCCTACTTGACACACAACACCCTCAAGGTATGGTCTTCCTTTTATGTCTTATTTGTATTTTCCATGATACTCTTGTAGAGCACAGTCTTTCTGGAATATCTCCTTGTGTCTCCCACCTAAAACATTATGCCCATCTCTACCTGTTATGATCCCATCTACTTTCTTTGTTTAGTTGTTTTTCTCATTTTATTTTATTATTTTTTTACAAATTTTTATTGTTTTTCAAGTACAGTTTTCTGCCTTTTCCCCCCACCCCTCCCAGGCACCCCAGCCCTCCCCACCTACCTCCCCCATTTCCACCCCCCCTTGTTGTTGTCCATATGTCCTTTATAATTGTTCCTGTAAACCCTTCACCATTTTCTCCCATTATCCCCTTCCTTCTCCCCTCCAATCACTGTCAACATGTTCTCAATTTCAATGTCTTTAGCTATAATTTGCTTGCTTATTCATTTTGTTCATTAGGTTCCTGTTAATGGTGAGATCATATGGTATTTGTCTGTCACCTGGCTTATTTCACTTAGCATAATGCTTTCCAGTTCCATCCATGCTGTTGCAAAGGGTAGGAGCTCCTTCTTTCTTTCTGCTGAATAAAATTCCATTGTGTATATGAACCATATTTTTTGATCCATTCCATCTACTTTCTAACGCTCATCTGAAATTCTGGACCTTAAGAAGCTTCCATGATTATTTTGGTTGGATATGTCCCTTTCCTTTTCTGAACTCCAACGACTCAGCAGGAATCCTTTAAGGCCTATACTATCTATATTGTAGTGTTCCCCCTCCCCCCATTATACTGTCAATCTTTTGAGATTATGGCCTGAATCAGACTTTTCTTTGTATCTGGCACTAATTGACAATTAGTAAAACAATAAATACTGGGTCAATTCAATTTCTAGAAGTCTAGAAGCAATAATTGCTTCATATAAAATGTTGTTATGTCTCTATTTTCACCTCAACTATTAGGTAATATACCAATGTTTCACTACTGAATACAAACTAGTAATCATTCTTGATATTGTCTCTGAGAATAATATCTATAAATAAATAAGGAATATGTATGTGTGTGATTATTTTACTATTAACCAAGAGATTTCATATATTTTATATAATTTGGTCCTAAAACAGTCTGGTGAAGTGGGTATAAGGACTCCGTTTAACAGATGAAGAGACCAAATCTTTGGAAGGTCAGTGTCTTGGTCGTGGTCTCCTAGTAACTTACGGAGCCTGAGTTCAAATCTGAGTCTGCCTGATTTCTAAACCTCTGCTCTTTCTGTACTTTCCTCTGCTTCTCCATAAAGATCACCAAGAACATAAACACATCTAAGTCTCTGAATTCTAAATCTGAGGCTTGGTAATTTCCCTATTGTCAGGTATTTCCTCTGAAATTATTTCAAAGTGAATAAAAAGTATAAAAAATATATAGTATGAATTCCTCATGGGTGTTTACAGGTGTTCCCAGGTCCACAGAAAACTAGGGCCCGAGATGCCAGATCTGCAACTGGAGGACGGGAAAGCAGGAAGGTATGCTGTTTCTGTGAGCTCGGGCTTCTCTGACATAGGTAAACCTGGGCATTAACTGCAAGGGATGCCTAATGCATGGAATCCAAACTCAATGTGTTGGGCAAGAGGAGATTTTTTTTTCTAGTGACATAACATGGAAAATGGCAGCATTCTTGAGAATATCATTCAGACCAGAAAATGGGAAGTAGGAGGCAGAAGACTAATATGAATGAAGCATCTGCCAGTAAATTTCCTAAAATTAAATCTCAGGACAGTGCTACCCTGTAGATGGGATAATGCTCACTTTGCAGCTGAGAAAACTGCAGATCAAAGGCTGTTCCAAGGTCCTTGATGTGTTTTCTATATCAGTGGTTCAGAATTCTTCAGGTATCTCAGGGAGTGGAGCAGGGGGAGCAGGAGAGGATAAGAGGCAGCCAATCAGGCACGTGCAGGACTTCAATCAAAACAACTGATTATCTCTCTTTGAAAATCTTCTTTACATAGATTTACATTGATAAGAGGTATTTAAATCCTGGAAAACATGTTTAAAAGCCACTACAACATTCTATGCTTACACTTCCTTCTTGATTGGTTATATACAGGTGTGGCTTGTTATGAAGTGTCAGACCTCCAGAAATGACCTCCATTCTGAGAAGGAGAAGCAGAGCCAAGCCTTCTTCTAAAGTTTAAGTCCAGAGAGTCAGGGCAAGAACTTCTTTAATGAGAGGAAAGACTTCAAAAAAAAAGTGGCAGGTCTAATTGGGGTGAACTCCCTTGAACATGCAATGTGGACTCAGCCCTGTCCGAAATTGCCTCACTTCTTAGATGATGCAACTATAACATATTTCTATTGCAACTGCAGAATGTGCCAAGATACTTGGAGCATCCAATCTTCTTCATAATTTAAAAAAATGTGTGGCTTGCATAGAATTAGAAGTTCTGTGCTTTGATCATTCACATGTGTGGTTAATGCCAAGAGAATTGGGTGAACGTTACATTATTTCCAAATTATTCTGAGGATTCTAGATATTGAGGCTTTTTACCAGTCTGAGAATCCATGTCCAGAGACTTCTTCATGGGTCCATTACTTCTTGTCTTTGCTCTGAAACCATACACAACAGCATTTCTGGGAAGCAGAGACATCAGATAGAGACATGGTTTCTCTTGGAAAAGTGTGAGAAGTCAGGTGTTGCAATGGAATGACTAATATAAGTGGTTATCGTGGTGCATCTTCTGGAAACGAAGGCCTCCTTGTGTGTGAAAATATGCTCTGGTGAATTGTTCACGGTGGTAGACCTGGCACAGTCATAGCTGTCATAGACAGGGCATTAATGTCATATGGTCACTGAGGATGTTATGATGACCCCTATTTTATGTGGGTCGCAGCTAGGACTCAGATAGTTTTGGCTAAAATCAAACAGCAGGTAGATAGAGAGGGGATCTGATCTCACCATGAACTCTGGAAGGCAGGCTCTTTTTCTCCCCCAGCGCTTGCTTCATCAGGCAATCTAACTCACATCTTCCTTTAGCATAGACTGCTCTTTAAAAATCTTTAGATGAGCCTGAAAGTCACTTGATAATTCATCTTTTATTCTATATAAAATCTGATTAGTCAGTGTCCTCCGACTGGTAGCCACAGAACAGGAAACACGGACCCTGATCCCTGCGTTGCGGAGTGGGACAGAGGGAGAGTGTAAGAATGTCCCCCAGCAGCCTGGGTACCTGCAGTGGCTCCCAGGAGGCCCCGCCCCCTCCGCAGGTGCTTGGATGTTAGTAAATGAATGTCTTTCAGGTCAAGCCTGTGTTCCTCTCTAACGCGGGCCCCTGAGGTGGTGAGTGTGCGCCAGCTCCGGAAGAGCTCTTTCTCAATTTGCTCAGCACTTTGGGTCTTGGGGGTGCGAGTTCCGTTGGTTTTCAAAGCAGGTGTTTTGGGGGATCGTCTCTCAGGTGCAGGTCTTCAACGTTGGGGTGCCCCATGCGGGGTGCAAGCCCTCTCCTCTTTGGAGAAGCTCTAGGTGTGTGAGTTCCCCACCATTTGTGTAGGTCCACACACTGGAGTGGGGTGTATGTCGTGATCGTGTCTCTTTTCTGTATGTTTCCACGTGGCCTTCTCGTTCGCCCGATGTGAAGGAGCTGCTCCGTTAGTTTTCAGGTCTTTTTCAGAGGAGAGTGTTCCACGTGCAGCTGTCAGTTCTGTGCGTCCGTGGGAGGAGGGAGCTCAGGCTGGCTCTCCGCCCGCCATCCTGAATCATCTGTTTTTTCAATGTTGAAACCACGTTGCATTGCCGGGATAGGCCTGCTCGGTCATATACATTATCCTTTGTACATATTGCTG